ACTGGAATTTTATGAATTATTGGCATGTCACAACCAATAAATCCTAATGGAAAATAGGCCAAAACATACTAGAAAGTTTTAGTCAACCGATACTCAGTCTTCAGCCAAACAACGGTTTTAAAAATACTAGTGTTTTTGTGTACAGGACCTCAAACTTAGGGCCATAGTTCCTACACTGCTCCAACACACTTACTGTAACTCTAGGGTTCAATCAATTCTAAAGAATTTTGTTTATTTTAATAAAGGTTGAAGCTCCGCATAGGCCGTCATAATCAGGAAAACAAGAAGTTCATTGGTTAGTTCACACTTACGTTTGTTGTAGCGGTGTTTGATGTAGCACTGGTAGAGCTCTGAGTGCTGTTTGAAGCAGTGGCACTTGATGATGTAGTTGTGTTTGATGATGTAGTTGTGTTTGATGATGTAGTTGTGTTTGATGATGTAGTTGTGTTTGATGATGTAGTTGTGTTTGATAAAGCAGTGGTACTTGATGCTGTAGTGCTGTTTGAAGCTGTTGTATTTGATGATGCATTGGTGGTTGATGCTGTTGTGTTTGAAGATGCCGTGGCATTTGATGCTGTTGTATTTGATGAGGCGGTGGAAACCGATGCAGTGACATTTGATGCTGTTGTATTTGATGGTGCATTGGTGGTTGATGCTGTGGTGTTTGAAGATGCCGTGGCATTTGATGCTGTTGTGTTTGATGAAGCAGTGGAAACCGACGCAGGGGCATTTGATGCTGTTGTGTTTGGGGCTCCAGTGGTGGTTGATGTGGTATTTGATGCAGTCACGTTTGATATCACTGAAGCATCTGTGCTGTTAGGGTTGCCTAAGTTCTCCGTTCCATTTGTGACCAATGCAGTTACTGGAGCACCCAGAGTACCTACAAGCAGAACAAGGAATATTTAAATCTGCTGAAGCTAAATGAATACGTCTGTTATTGAGGAATGTGTGCACTCACCATTTGAGACACTGCCCGTTACAACGGATACAACAGGGTCTGTGGTTGTAGGTGTGTTTGCTGCACGTGCAACCCTGCTGCTGGATAGACCTGCTGCGGTGAAAACGCACTGAATCTTTTTTCCAATCACTGAGCCACTGAAGCTTCCTGGAACAAACTGCAACATGATAGAAGTAATGTTAGTAGATGCTATAGTGCAGGGAACAACATCTAAGGTGGAATATACAGTGCTGAATTTGAATTTGCCCTTAAACATTAGTGCATTGTGCTAAATACTCATAAGGAGCAATCAATTGAGAGTTGTGTGCGTTGTAGTAGATTTGGACAGACCTAAATACATTCCCTGCTTTTATATATGGTAACACTTTATTTTGATGGTTCATTGGAGTATTAGTAGACTGTCTGCTTAATATCTGCTGGTTCTGCTCCTTTAACAGCCATTTAATTGACTATAAGAAACTTTGCAAGTATGTCAACTTACACTAACTCTAACCCCAAACTAACAGTCTACTTATAATTTATTGAGAATACAAGAGTTCACGCCTAGCTCATGATTTACACATAGCTTGTTTGGAATGCTGTCCTGAGAGAGAGCCCTGAGCTCAAGGGATCATTGCGCCCAAGGCTACCACCCCTTTAAAGGGCGAGGGGAGATTGAGCTAAGATCAATCTCAAAACTCCCCTGCTGCTGAAGCTAAGGTGAACTTCTTGAGAATAAGACATTGAATAAAACATTTAGGCTTGATTTATCTATACTAAAGAGCATATTTGGACGGTGGAAGGAAACCGGGGAATCCGGGGGAAACCCACGCGGACACGGGGAGAACATGCACAGATATACCAGATGGCGCAGCGAGGAACCCACACCATTGGTATTCTTGCTGTGAGGCAGCAGTGGTAGTCACTGGGCCTCTGTGCTGCCCATTCTGGATAAAGGTGGAAGAAAGGGTGGAGGAGAGTTTCTTCAAGACTTAAGCTGTGGTCACACAGGACTTTTCTTCCCATAGACTTCCATTCATACTCACGCGAATGCGTCAGACCGGAAGCGCAAGGTCATGCGTCAAGTTTTGCTGGGCTCTGCGGTGCAAAGTTTATGCTTAGAAAACTCTGACCTGCGAAATCCCATCACTTGACTGCGTCAGACCAATCGAGGATTAAAACATGAGCTCTCTGTACAGAAACTTAAAACATGGAGCAATAGCTTGCTTTTTAAAATGTGTAATCATTGTGTTTAATCCCGCCCCTTTCCGCAGCTCCGTAGGACAGAATTTCTCAAGCTCAAACTCTAGTGTGACTGAGGCATAAGATGGTTGTTTTAGGAAATTATGATTTATAGTGACTTGGGATCCTTTGATTGTGATCAGCTAGTGTGGGTCAGCTGGGTCAATCATGAGCACATGCTCCTCTCAAAATTAGCTTACCATTAAACTTCACTGAGTTGGCGCAGTTGATGCAATGTAACTTAAATTCAACAAACGAACCATCAAAATAAAGTGTGACTTTATATACGACCTTATTGTTTGTGTGTTTGTTTACACTTTATTGTCTCCAATGGGGAAGTTTGTCTTGGACTCTAGGTCCATGTTTCCATACACCAAACAGATTCTTTTAATTACCTACAGTTGTCTCCTTTACTAACAATGGCATTGTATTTTTTTTTAAATAAAAATGCTCTTTGAAAAAGTGCCTTACTGTGTTATCCTGAGTCAGTATTTGGTTGCTCATTGTGGAACGGATTAACTTCAGTAAACCATTGAAGTTGGCACAGGAATAGACTGTGGCACCTAGACCCTGAGGATGTGAACAGTAATCAGAGAAACAATACGGTTACTGAAGTTTAAGAATATATTGGTTAAATATTAAAGTGTCTTGGTTAATAAACTGATCTCTTACGCTGTTGTCCGGGGCGAGGGCAGCTCCGATGTAACCAGCAGTCTCACCACTGAGCTCAAAGGTAAAATTATTCGTACTTCCACTCACGGCTCTTGTGGACATGAAATAACAGGTACTCTGTGCACCAGGATTACAGGTAGGTGGAGCAGAGAAACATGCCCTATCCCTCCTGCAGTTATCCCTGTTGGTGATTTCCTAAAATTCAAAAATAAAAAACATAAGATGCATAAAATCACATACCTATGCACTATTCAGTGGCATTTTGTAACATAAGTATTGTAAGTAGAGCATTTACACCAAAGCGAATAAATGCACTGAACTCATACACTACACATTTGAGTGCATAGTGTATACTGTGTCATTTCAGACACATTCAAGACTGTTATTTCCATTTTGATAGAAGGAAAACAGCTTACTTGTGATGGGACATTACTGTTGCCATTGGAATTAGATCCTGATGGTGTGACAAGGTTTGTCACAGTGACGGGAACCTGCTGGGTGGGCATTGTGGTTATATTGGGAGGAAGTGTCTGGGGCAGGTTGGTGGTTATGTTGGGGGGAAGTGTCTGAGTCTGGTTGGTGGTTATGTTGGGAGGGCGTATGTTGGTGGTGATGTTGGGGGGAAGTGTTTGAGTCTGGTTGGTGGTTATGTTGGGGGGAAGTGTCTGGGTCTGGTTGGTGGTTATGTTGGGGGGAAGTGTCTGGGTCTGGTTGGTGGTTATGTTGGGAGGGCGTATGTTGGTGGTAATGTTGGGGGGAAGTGTCTGAGTCTGGTTTGTGGTTATGTTGGGGGGAAGTGTCTGGGTCTGGTTGGTGGATATGTTGGGGGGAGGTGTTTGGGTCTGGTTGGTGGTTATATTGGGAGGGCGTATGTTGGTGGTTATGTTGGGGGGAAGTGTCTGGGTCTGGTTAGTGGTTATGTTGGGGGGAAGTGTCTGGGTCTGGTTGCTGGTTATGTTGGGGGGAAGTGTCTGATTGTTGGTTATGTTGGGAGGGCGTATGTTGGTTGTTAAGTTGGGGGGAAGTGTCAGGGTCTGGTTGGTTGTTATATTGGGAGGAAGAGTCAGAGGCAGGCTGGTGGTTATGTTAGAGGGACCCACCTGGTTCGGGTTGACAGTCATGTTGTTAGGTTGCGTCTGGTTGTTAGGTTGCGTCTGACTCGAGTTGGTGGTCAAGTTGTT